CATATGGACATATCAGGGAAAGTTGTAGAGAGCAATTTTTTTTCAAGCTGCAGAAAATGAGGTTCATAAAAACATACATTCACTACTCATTATATGTATAAGTGAGCAGGGTTGTTGTTAATGGTTCCTTCTCCTCTAGAGGCCCATACTACAGCATTAAAATATGAATGGGACAGATGTAGTCACCTAATCTTGATGGGTCTGGGATCCAGAACTGATCTTCTGTTCATTGCACCTATTTCTTTTTATCACTTTTTATCACACGGTTTATAAAAAACAAAGCTTGGTTAATTAAAAAAAAAAAAATTGGGATGCAAGGCAGCCTGAGTTTTCAAGCTAACTTTCTTAGTTCTAAACTGATTTTCTGAGACAGGTTCCTTCTCTTCTTTATCTCTGAAGACTCATTACCTTCTTTCTCACATAAGATAAAAATCATTTGGAAATACTGAATTAGGAAGACTCTGTAATTCTGATAGTGCACTGAGCGCTGCCGTTTGAGGGCTTCCCAGGAATATATTAACTGATGTGACTGACCTCTATCATTTGCATTTGATTTGGTTTTTTCCCTCATCATCTTCTCCAGGTGAGGAGTGTGTTCAGTGAAGAGTTTTGTTTGGATGTTTTTTTTCTGCTGTGCATAGGTACATTGCAGTGTACTTCTCTTAGAGAAAAAAAGGTCAAAGAAGCGCATCATGCATTGTAACAAAGGCGGTAAATTTTGTGAAAGCCCTTCTTCCCTGCAGGAATTCATTAACATTTTTAGTTGTCTGATCCCCAAGAAATCTCTGCTACGTGTGTAGATGAGCAGTACCTTTCCTATGGGAAGTCCTAGTCCACAGGGGAGAAAGCACGTTCTTGATCTCTATCTCAGAGGTGTTTGTAGTCACCATGGGCTCAGATCATTGAGTATCAAAGTAAAAGCTGCCACTTTTGGTTCTGAGCGTCAGCTCAGAGTGTGTGCCCACTACTGCTGATGCAATTAGAAGATAAATCTTGAATGGCTGTCACTGGATCAGAACTGATAAATTGCTTGGTTAAAAAAAAAA